TAAGGAAATGTAAATTGCAGTGCCTCCGAGATGCTGCTTTTCTTGCTTGAATTAGCAAAGATTAAAAAGACCCCAAGATGCATCTTGAGTGCTTTGCCTGTCATAGCCTTTTCTGAGGGCTGTTTGACAGGTAGCTATCAAATGCCCTGGAAAAGCCTCTGATGACTTGCCCGCATTTCTAGTAAGTTTTCCTAAGGAAATAATTGGTCACATTCACAAAGGCTGCTCATGGTAGCAATGTTATCAGAGCAAAAACTGGAGACTAACTATTAAAAAAGAATTGGCAAAATAAGGTACATCCATATAACTGAATATTTTTAAATCCTTTTAAAGATTTTGTGTGTTGATTAACATGAAAAATGCTTATATTTGAAAACAAAATGCATATTTTTGTAAAGGAACACACAGAAACAGTTTATGAAAATATGTAACAAATATATGCTACTAAATTTTCTAAAATGTTTAAGATGTTTATTGAGAACAAGCCCTGGCAGCTTCCATTGGGGTCCCTTCAGGAAGTCCCTTCCATGCCCACTGTTCTCACTGTGAGGTCAACAGTGGGTGACCTTGTGCCTAGTTGACCGGTGAACTTTGTAAGAGTATACATAAACGTAGTTAACCTCTGGTCCTCAGAGCCTGGCACATACTAGGGACTCAACATGAGTGGCCAGATTCTCGGTTTTCCTTGAATAACTGGAGAATTTAATGAAATCAAAACCAAACAAAAACAAAAACCTAAGTCCCACATTATGCTCAGAATTGAGGTGAGGAGACAAAGGTCTAAGACTGAACACTGGATCTGGATTTCTTTCTTTAGGTTGAGCGGCATGGTGGCCCCAGGTAAGTTACCACACCGCTCTAAATTTCGTGAGCCACTCAGGTCTGAAGTGGGCTATCGCACTGAGTGCTAAGGGAGCAGGCCACACCTAGAGTTTAGCAGAGGGGAGAACACAGGAGACACTTCAAAACAGAAAGCCTTGAAACCTTGTGCGACCCTACTCCCTTCCAGGGCTTGACCAAGGAGGCCAGTGGCTGTGGCTGGAGCTGACTGGAACCAACCAGTGCGGTCCCTCCTTCTGCCTCGGTTGGCCCTTCGCCTGCTCCTCGAGTAAGGCGCCCAGTGCTTCTTTCCCTAAAGAAGCTAAGCACCAGCGATTGGACCCCAGGTGCAGGAGAGCCTCGGGTGGAACCCAGAACTTTGCAGACCACTGGCAACTCCAAGGCTTGAAATTTGCGCTCCTCTGTGTCGCCTTCCAGCCTTGGAATCGGTTTCTCACCTGACAAGTGAGATAATGGGACCCAGTAGAGAAAGGTGGGTCTTCATAAGTCACTGCAGGGAAAAGTGCAAGGCGCTGGAAGAACACGCAAAAGCCCAGAGCCACAGTAGGCAGCGTGGTTTGTTGTTTTGTTCTGTTTCCAAAGTTGTGTCTTTTCCTCGGCCCTAGCCTCGGCCAGATCAAGGGCCATTTCAAAGGAGACAGCAAACCAGGCTCCCTTCCTCCCCATTCGCGATGGGAACGCACGACAGAACGAGCGTCTTAATCAGCAAGACTGGAGGAAAATGTCTCCTGTGCCGGCGTCCATGCCTGCGTCCACGCAGGAACAGGAGTCACTTTGGTGCGCAAAACGCGCGCCAGGCATGCCTGCCTTCGGAGACGCTGTCTCCCAAGGCGCCTTCTTCCTCCAGCCCTTCCCAGGTGAAGAATTTCAGCCAAACTAACGGAATCCAGAGCGGTGGGAAAGGGGTCTGTGCGGGAGGGGCGAATCCGTCCCAGAGCCACCGGTTTGGGGATAATTACTTTTAATGTCAGAAAGATTTAGTTTAATATCATCTCTATTAGGCTGCCGGGAGGGTAATTAAACGGGAAGCGTCGCAGCCGGCAAACAGATGGCGTCTGCTTGCTTCGAGGCCGCGGGCAAACAGCGCAAAAGTCAACGCTTCCCAGGTCCCCCACTGATGCCCCCAGCCCTTCTCCTAGTCAGTGGTACAGAATCCTCATTCTCGGCTCCCAGTCCCACATCACCCCAGGTCCCCACCTGGGCCTTCCCCCTGGGCCTCTGCTGTGGAGTGGCTCTGAGTGATGGATGGGGTTGGAATGAGGGTGTGGAGGATTTCTTGGCTGGGTGCACACGCCCGCTCCCCACCGGCCGGGCAGACTCCTCAGCAAATGATTCTGAGCTGAGGACACTTCTGAAAGTGTGAGTTGGGCCCTCGCTGTCAACCACTTCATTTGGAGTGAAGGTCTCTATCCCAGCAGACGGAGAAGGACTAGGGTTCCAAGCCCTGATAGATATGCTCAATGTTGAGGGTGCAGGCTCACGACGTGGGACTCTGCAGGCGTCTGAGTTTGAGATCACTCACCAAGTGGTTGTGCCTGCAGGCAAACGTGCTTATGAGAGCATACTGTGAGGCCAAACTTTTTGAAAGGGTCCCTTGGGTGAGAGGGCCACGTCAGAAGTGAGCGCGCCCCCCGTGGGCGTCCACTTCGTGTGTACATGAAGGTGTGTCCAAACCTGCAATGAGTTGTGTTAGTGTGTGGGTGGTGGTGGTGGTGGTGGTGGTGGTGGTGGTGGTGGTGGTGGTGGTGGTGGTGTTTGGGGGCCTCATCCTGTTGCCTCAACCTGGGCATGCTCTCCCTGAGGCTAGCGGCTCAGGTGGGCTTTCACTTCCAGTCTCTTCTGGGCAGCTGCTCATATCAGCAGGTGCTAACAGATGAGTGGCCTGGGAAGCTGGGCAGAGGCATCCTACGGAGTGGGCACAGTTATCTCAGGCCAGAACGGGTTTTTTCTGCTTCCCTCCATTACATTCTTTACGTGAACACCACCAACCTCAGCTTGTGAAAAGAGAGCGTCTGAGACCTGTGGAGACACCAACTTAGAGCACCAGAAAAGGGGGAGACATCCTGTAGTTTGGCCTGGGCTGGGTTCCAGGGTGCGATACCTCCTGCTCTTAAGAAAAGAAGGTTCGATCTAGGTCCACGCCAGAGCTCGGGTTCCAAAAACCGTTGGCTCTGATGAGTTCGTCTAAGTGCAGGATTCTGGCCTCAAGCGCGAGGAAAGGTATTTAGGCCACTGCTTCCCAGAAAACTAAGCATATCTGGGTAGGTTACTTCGTTTCGGGGGTAAAAAAATGTCTGCAAAACTGCCCCCCCCCAAAACAAAAACAAAAAAAGCTCTAGAAGCAGGCGGGCGCGTGGAATCCCGCAGCGCATGGAGCCTTCCCGCCCCTCCCTCCAACAGGCCCGCACTCAGGCATAGATAGTTACTCTGCCATCTGACCCCGGGAAATTGTGTGTATGTGTGTGTGTGTGGGTGGGGGGGTGATCGCCTAACGCGGAGGGCTTCACCGCACCTCACCCTCACTCCACCTGCATCTCCAGACTCTTCACTCCCTACCAAAGCTTTTCTCCGGCGGCAGAGAAGGAACTTTCTCGGTAGCCGCGCAACCAGGTTGCTATTCTCTACGATTCGGGCCCCAGCTCCCCTGAGACTGGCCTGGCAAACTTTCTGGAAGTTGTCCGCCAGATTCTGAGGTTCATCGCCCCGTCACGTCTCCTCGGGTCCGATCCTCCGTTGGCTTCTTGGACAGGGCGCATCCCGACCCTCGCAGGCGCGTGGTTCTGCTATGGGATCCTGTTGATCTCGCCTTCCTCCTGCCCCAGCTGCCGGTCCGCCTGGCGGGAGGGGCTGCGGACCCAGGCAGGCTCCGTGCGCCTAACAGGTGTGTGCGTCGGGTCGGCGTAGACCCGACTCCCGAGGCCCAGGGGCTTCTAAAAAGCAATGCCCAGACGCACGGTAGGGGGTGGAGAGGAAATAAGGAGATGGCCTCGCTTTTCATTTAAACGAATTTTCTTTACTCTGAAGAAAAGAGAAAAGTAGAAAAAAAAAAAAAAAAGAGAGTAACAGAATGTTAGCCGCAAAGGCAGGAGAAGAGTCCGAGCTAGAGAATCCGAGGGCGACCCCGCCCAAGGACTTCGACGTCTGTCCCGAAAGGGGGTAACTATGAAAGGATACAAAATTGGAACCTGTTACCTCCTCCGCTGACCGAACGGGTCCTGGGGCCGTGACGTCAGCACAGGTCGCAGAAGGCCAAGTCAAAGTTGGTCCAAGGCCCCCCGCCCCCTGCGCAGCCTTGTGGTCTAGTGGCGCGACCGGCTGGCCGGTGCATCCTGCGTCCGTCCGAGAGAACCTGGGGAGGCGCAACGGCTGCCTTTTACTTTCGTTTAAAACAATTTACAAGTAAACTTCGTTAATTTCAAATATCGACAAAAAGAATCCCACCACTAACACCATAAAAAAAGGGGAGCGAGATGCGGAGAAACGAAGAAAGGCAAGGGCACAGGGGGCCAAGGGACAGGGCTGGGGCGCGGGGAGAGGAGAGGCTGAGGCGCACGGACCCTCGTTCCTCCTCTGCGTTCCTCGCTTAAAAACGCCCCTCCTTACAAATCACACTTACCCTCCGTGCAGCCCGTGGTGTCAGGACTTTGCCAAACGAAGGAACTAAGCATTAAAGGTGGCAGGGGGAGGGGGAGGGGAGCAGAACAGCTCTCAGCCACCTCGGAGCACGTCGGACTTGGGAGCACACTCGACACCGTCAGAAGGAAAGCCAGCAAAACCATCTTGGCAAGTCTGCGGTGAACGCCCTCCCTCCCCCACCCCGGCACCGGGGTTCCACTCCCACTCCGACAGCGGTAATTGAATTGTCACCTGCCCCCGTCCCGCCCCAGGCCTCCAGGGCCACTGGGGAAGCTCGGCCTTGCCAAGCGCCCCCGGCCAAGGCAGAGTGGCGCAGCGGAGCCGGCGCCCCAGAAGTAGAGGGGTTACACACGTCTACGCGGAGAGGCGCACCGGACACGGTAATTAGGAGCAATTCACACGCTCTCGGGCGCACGGAAACTTCTTGTCACGACATTTGCAACGCTCCTCCTCGCGCACTCCTTCCCTGGCGCCCCCTCCCTTCCCGCAGGCACTCAGCGGAGCGTTCCGAGTTTCGAATCTTTCGGACACTGTAGAATGAGGGGCTCCCCGGGCGCGGGCCCGGCCAATCAGAGCGCCGACTGCCTCCCCTGGCCAATGGCAGGCGCCACATTGTTGTCCAATTCTGTCTAATGGAGCCCTGAGGAGCAACAATAGAGCGGGCGAGCGGCTCATTGAGAGCTGGCAGCGCCGGGCTACCGGGCCCGGATAGAGCGCAGCGTCCGGAGCGCACCGAGGGGACGCGGGTTCCAAGCAGCTGGCCCCCGGCCGGGTCCCCGGTCCCGAGTCCCCTCCGGAGTGTTGGACTGCTGTGTTCCGAGGGGCGGGGGGGTCCGGAAGTTCGGACATGGTGGCTGAAGGAGGGTGACGTGGTCAGATAAGGGGCCGGGGGCAAAGGGACGAGGCCGAGAGAGCGGCGGCGCGAGCGGAGCTGGGCGGTGCGTGCAGCTCCGGCGGAGGAGGAGCCCGGAGCCCGAGGCAGGTAGAGGAGGGCCGGCCGCAGAGCAGGGGAGGCCACCGGACCGGCGGCCCCCGAGGGCGAGGCCTAGGCCCCAGGGGCCTTAGGGACTGCATGCCTGGGGGTCTGCGGGCAGAGGCCCCGGGCACACTGAGCTCCGCGATTCTCAGGCGGAGCGGGTCCCCAGGAGAGGGTCCCGGGCTCGGAAGCCCCGGCGGGGTGGCGGGGAGTGAAGGCCGCAGCGGAAGCCCGGAGCTGGGCCTGCTGGGCCTTGTGCAGCTGCGGCGCAGGTGGGACGGACTGGCCTGTCCCTTCGGGGTCAGTTTCGGAGGCGACTCCCTGGCCTGGCTGAGGCCTGCTGGGGACTGCACGTTCCAGAACCCCAGGCTGAAGACCAAAACTCTGGAACCTGCGCTGCAGCGGGGTCCCCAGGGGTCCCAGAATGAGGAGGGCGTGTCTAAGGACTGGGTCCCTAAACTGGGGAGGGGTGGGGGTTGGGGAGGAGGGGTTGAGGGAAAAGGAGGTCCTGCAAAGTCTAACTTTCGGAAGCTGTGCCTTCCTTCCTCCTGGACTACTCCAGACTAACTGTCTAAACGCCACGCCACAGGTCTCGCCCCGTCCCCACCCTACCTTTCGCAGTACAGTTTTTCCTGTTTATCACTGCCGCTCTCCGTGGACCTGGGTCCGGGTCACCCGTGTCAGCTCTTTCGGGATGTTTTCCTTGCTATTCAAACTAATCTTTGAGCTAGATGGCTTGTCTAAAGAAAGTTTTTTCCCCCACGATGGGTTTTCTCTTTAATGCCCCTCAGCTCTTCTAAACTCGGTTTTTCTTCCTTTCCTTTAGAGGCACAAACCACGGCATGTCCCGAACTCATTTTTTTTTTTTTTTTAAATGGGTCCCGGGGCCATAAGCTGAACTTTGCCTCCAAATCTGTCTTCCGGTTCTCACTCCACTTTTAATAGGAAGAAGTTCTTCAGTTCTTTTTGCTCGAATTCCGCTGCTCCCACATTAAAGGCAACAAACAAGATCCCAACCCAGCCTGCTCAACCCTGCACCTCACCTCCACATTTCTCTCCTCTTTATCCTTCCACCAAAACCGAATGTTTTTTTTTCTCCGTGTCTTTTTGCTTTGCCTTTGATACCAGCTTGTTGGTCCCACGTTTTCTCTGTCATCTGAGTCCCCTTCAGGCACACATTTCTCCTTTCTCGTCTCACCCCAATTAACCTAAGCGTTGGACATAATATTTTCTTTTCAAGTCCTCCTTACATTCAACTGAACCAATGACTTCCAAACTTTGTCGTCTTTTTCCCCCTTGGAGGAACTACTGATTCAAACGAATTCTTCCACGTGGCGTGTAAATCGAATATAAGAGCATCAGTGAGGGGAGCGGAGGGGGGGGGTTGTTGGTGGGGAGAAGGCGTCGTCGTGTTTACAAGGAGGTTCCGAATACACCTTCCCCGCAACTTGCCAGCTATTAACCAAACTTGGACAACCAAAGTTTTCCTAAATTTGGGTTTCTGCAGGCCGCGCTTGAGTGTGGCTCATTGTACTGTCCTCACGCGGGTCTCCCCACTTTTCCCACGCCAGGTCCAGCCATGGAGCTGCGCTCGGAGCTACCCAGCGTGCCGGGCGCGGCGACAGCAGCGGCCACAGCGACGGGACCTCCCGTGGCATCAGTGGCGTCAGTGGCCGCGGCGGCGGCGGCCGCAGCCTCGCTGCCGGTGAGCGTGGCCGGGGGCTTGCTGCGGGCGCCCCCCCTGCTGTTGAGGGCCGCGGAGAAGTACCCGCGGACCCCCAAGTGCGCGCGCTGCCGCAACCACGGCGTGGTGTCGGCGCTCAAGGGCCACAAGCGCTACTGCCGCTGGAAGGACTGCCTGTGCGCCAAGTGCACGCTCATCGCCGAGCGCCAGCGCGTCATGGCTGCCCAGGTGGCGTTGCGCAGGCAGCAGGCGCAGGAGGAGAACGAGGCGCGCGAGCTGCAGCTGCTGTACGGCACTGCCGAGGGCCTGGCGCTGGCCGCCGCCAACGGCATCATCCCACCGCGGCCCGCCTATGAAGTCTTCGGCTCCGTGTGCGCCACCGACGGCGGGGGGCCCGGAGCTGGAGCGCCCGCGGGGAGTGCAGGGGGCGCAGGGGGCGCAGGTGAGAGCGGGGTCGGGCCGGGGTGGGGGTGTGGGGGATGGGTCTGGAAGGAGGAGCCCGGGACCCAGCTCTGGTGCGCACGGCCTAGTGGACTGTTTCCTTGGTGACCAGAGTTTAGCTCCCTTTCCTTGAAGTTGGGGCTACTTACTGTAGCTCACCAGGCACTCAGCTTCTACACCCACCCATAAACTGGCTGCCCTATCTGTAGCTTTTACACTTTATCCCTCTCCCTCACCTCAGACCCCAAGGCAACACTTGAGCTTTATGCTTGCTCAGGGGGCAGGTCCTTAGTTACTGCCCAACTCTTTTTGCTGGGTCTCCTCCCCCAGCAGCCGGAAGCTGCAGATCTGTTCTGCTCTGAGCTTCTCACAGGCCACCCCATGCTTCCCTTCCCAACTCTTCTGAAAGGACCCTCTGCAATCCTTCTAATCCGCATTGCTTCCCTAAGTACTGGCGACGCCCCTCTTTCACTGCCCGGCAAGATTCCTCTCCTCTGGTTCCTAAGGCTTTTTGGATAAACATTCCCTGTGTTCCCTTGGTCCTGGCTTCTTTCCCCCAACGCACGCACGCCGGTTTTCTCATGGTTGGCACGTTTTCCTTTTTCCTGGACCCCTTTCCCATGCTTCTGTCTGCTCCCAGCATAAACCCACCACTTTCTAGACTCTAGAAGGTTTTTCTGTGAGGAAGACAATTAGGTTCAGGAATGGGTTCGGCTCTCATATTGGAAGGGAATTTCTTGGGTCTTAATTTTGAAATATGTGGACTAGGAATAGGATATAACTTATTTTATGTGCAGAGAGGCTTAAGACCTAGGCCCCCAAGGCGCCTTCTCTTCCAAGCTGTGATACCTAAGGTAGGGTTGGCTTTGGCAACCTGAGTGGAGTTGTGTCGTCCACACACTGTGAGGTATAGGTAGAGGTTCTGTTTGCTCTAGTTTGAAGGCCACTTCTCTAGGAAATGGGAAGAGAGTGGAGGTGTTGGGGCACAGGTATAGGAAGGGTGCACTGAACATTATTTTTAGGGTGCCAGGTAAGGTTGGGGTTCTAGGTACAGAAAAAGCCTAGGAGCAGAGAGAGGGGGTAGAAGGAGAGAGGCGGGGGTTATAAAAATAAAACTGCGGCTCTGGAGCGCAAAGAATAGTTTGGAAGCTGAGAACGGGAGGAAACTTGCATTCAACAGGCCTATGTGTGGTGGGTCCAATGTTCTTAACCTCCCCTCACATCTCCGTTTTTCCCTCAGAGGCCAAGTTGCAGAAGTTTGATCTGTTTCCCAAGACGCTGCTTCAGGCCGGCCGCCCCGACAGTCCGCAGCCACAGCCAGTGAAGCCCTTGTCGCCCGACGGCGCAGACTCGGGTCCCGGGACCTCGTCCCCAGAGGTGCGGCCGGGTTCAGGCTCGGAGAACGGAGACGGCGAATCCTTTTCAGGGTCGCCTCTGGCCCGGGCCTCCAAGGAGGCAGGCGGCAGCTGTCCCGGGAGCGCGGGCCCGGGCGGTGGCGGCGAGGAGGACAGCCCTGGCTCCTCCAGCCCCCTGGGTTCCGAATCGGGTTCGGAGGCTGACAAAGAAGAGGCGGAGGCCGCACCGACTCCGGGGCTGAGCGGCGGCCCCGGGCCGCGGCAGCGGACGCCGCTGGACATCTTGACGCGCGTCTTCCCGGGCCACCGGAGAGGCGTCCTGGAGCTGGTGCTGCAGGGCTGCGGCGGCGACGTGGTGCAGGCCATCGAGCAGGTGCTGAACCACCACCGCGGAGGCCTGGCGGCCGGCCTGGGCCCCGGCGCGCCGCTGGATAAGGCCACGGTGAGCGCGGCCGTCGCGGTGGAC